GCCTGGATTCCAGCTTGGGGCTGAATGGCTGTGTGACTTTGGGCAAGTCACTCACTCTCTCTGGGCCTCAGTCTCTCCATCTGTAACAATGGCCTGCCTAGGAGTCTAAATTCTGGCGGTGCTTTCCCTGGTTATGGCCTCTCTCTGGGGGGCCCCCTCTGGTTTCCAACAGCCTAAGCAGGTCCCCAGACCGGACATTCCCAGAAGGGCAGTGACCAGGGCTGAGTGGAGCCCAAGCTCCCTGGAGAATGAATGATGTAGGCTCGGGCAACTGAAAACAGCCACCCCCTGTCTCTCCAGCCCCATGGTTTGGGAGTGCTGGTGCAGCCATGCTTTGAGCCTTGGGGACAGCAGCTGTGGATGGTCTCCAGCCTGGCCTCTCCCAGCCTCAGCTGTCCCATCTACAGAATGGGCAGAAGGCTGCCATCAGTGGCCCTAGCTGCAGAGGGAGAGGAGAATGGGAGACACCATCAGTCAGAAAGGGGGCCCGTCTCGTCCCAGCCATGTGAGTCCAGGGAGGAATCTGGGAGTTGCCTGGGAAGTGGCTAAGTCACATCGCTGTCCAGCTGTGGGGACCAGGTGGAAAATCCGGAGTCTGGGTGAGGCCCTCAGAAGCCGCCACCCCAATGGCAGGGTAGGGGACAATTACCTTCAGGGAAGTTGTGGCCTTGCAAGGGAGGCAGAAAGCGGTTCCCACATTACTTCCCCACCGCTACTGGGAGCCAGCCCCTCCCCCCAAGACCACCATGACCCTTGGGTCCACCTCTGCCACCAGTTGCTGCACCCACCTGGGCAAACCTATTGACCTGGGTTTCCCATTTGTGAAATCTTGATTTGCCCATGGTAGGGGCAGCTCAAGACCAAGGAAGATGAGGAAAGCTTTGGGGAACCAGCAAGAAGAAGATCATGATATCGCAGAGCACACGCCTGTGAAGGGGCACCTGCCTTATCCCTCGCCTATCGCTGGCTCTCCCTTCCAGCCCTGTGCCTGGGACACCACTGTGAGGGATCTAACATCACGTGGCCCAGGGTCACAGCATTCCCCCGCACGTGGGCTCTGGACCTGAAGAGCTTCAAAGGGAACCTCACCTCCTGTGGGGAGTGATGAAAACAGCCCAGCAGGGAAGAGGTGAGCGGGCACCGGCTGAACAAACAGAAGCCCCCATGGGACCGGGCCTGGCCTCTCTCCTGTGGTCCGAGCCGGACACCTGGGTTTCCTTCCGCTAGTTGCACAAAAGACACATAGATAGGGTATTTGTGTGTCAGTGGCATCCAAGCGGGTTGGTGTTGTGTGTGTGGACACACACATGTGTGACCCATAGTACCTACCATGAGGTGTATAGTTCAGTATATGCTGTGCCCGGTGGGCGTCGGCTCTCTTACCCCAGGGGCAGGTTAAGAACATGAGAGAGCAGGGGTCGGTGAACTGTAGCCTGTGGGCTAAATCTGCCCATGGCCTGCTTTTGCACAGCTCATGATCTAAGAGTGGTTTTTACATTTTTAAATAGTTGGAAAACAAAGACTATTTCATGACTTGTGAAAATTTTACAAATTCAAACTTTAGTGTCTACAATTGGTTTTATTAGAACACGGCCACATTTGTTCATTTGCTTCCCATCTATGGCTGCTTTTATACTACAATGGGAGAGGTGAGCACTTACAACGGAGACAGTATGGCCCACAAAGGCGAAGATATTTACTCTCTTATTTACTATCTGACCTTATCAGAAAGTCTGTCGGCTCCCAGCATTATGGCACCAGCAAAGCTAGGGCTCACTGCTACTTTCCCCCAAACCAAGTTCAGGTTCAGCTTCAGTGAACTTATCAAGAATTTTATAATTAGAAAATCTAGATTTTTTTTTTTATTTGAGAGAGTGAGCAAGAGAGAGAGAGCGAGAGCACACAAGCAGGGAGAGCAGCAGGTAGAGGGAGAAGCAGGCTTCCCGCCGAGCAGGGAGCCCGACACGGGACTCGATCCCAGGACCCCGGGATCATGACCTGAGCTGAAGGCACACGCTTAACGACTGAGCCACCCAGGCGTCCCTATAATTAGAAAATCTAGATAGACACTGTGTTCATTTCAGTACATATATGAGAGCTTTGGGTTTTCTAACTTTATATTGTTTTGTGTGTGTGTGTGGCAGAGAGAGAGAGAGAAAGAGAGAGAATAATAGTCTTTTCAAGATTGAACATTTCCTACCCATTTCTTGTGCATCCATAGTGTTTAGCACATGCTAGGCACACAGTGGGTGATCAGTCAACGTTTGTGGGATAAAATAACAAGCTTGGTTTTCTCCATTACCCAACAACCCTGCTAGCAAGGCAATACTCTTGCTTATTCCATAAATGTGGAAACTGAGGCATGGAGAGCTAAGGTCACCTGCTTGAGGCTCTCTCCTTGACCATTACCCGTGAGAACAATATGTCCTTTTTTGACATTGTCTTACTTCTGGGAAAAGCAGGGGGCACATGATAACATGTCTGGTGCGGAGGCATCTAGTCCCTCCCTCCAACAGTTTTCCACAACCAAGGTGCCCCACCCTCCACCGCATAGGTTTCCAGGCCTTCTGCCCTCACTGGGGGGTCTTGGCAGCCTCCCAGGAGCCTGTTGAGGGATAAGTGTTTTTTTTTTCCCTTTTCCGGCAAACAGGGGGCAGGTGTGGGTGAACAGCTCTGGGGAGGAAGTGCAGGGAAGTAACTGAAGCTGAACTTCTGGGGGATTCAGCGAGGCTGAACTATAAAAGGGATGCCATTGAGAGTAAGGGGACTGCCAAAGCGGGGAGTGGAGGCAGTTTGGGGAGCTAGGAGCCCAAGTGGGGGTGCTGGGGATAGAAAAGGGACCCAAAAGAGGGATCAAAGACCGAGTGGTTATCTTGGCAGCCTTGGGGTGGGTGGGGGGCTATCCCTGCCTCTAAGGGCCACCCTCCAAGCCAGACCCTGGAAAATTTCCACACCCAGTGAGAGCTCTGAACCTACAGAAAGCCGAACACCAAGCCAAAGAGAAAACCCTCCTCCTCCTGATGTCCAACCTCTGCCCTGCACCAGAGAAGGGTTTGGGGATAAACCAGATGAATAGGGCAGGGGATGCCTAGCATTTCTCACTTCTCTATCAGGGACTCAGCACCTCTCTGGAAGAATGGGCAGGAGGGCTCAATGGTGATGTTCTCTACTGTCTGGAGAAAATTCAAAGCCCTTTTCATGGCTCTCCATGCCCCTCTCCAACATCGTCTTGCACCACCTTCTCGTTCACCGCACTCTACACACAGTGGACTTGAATGTATTCTGCTCCTTCCTACCACAGGGCCTTTGCACTGGCTGTTCTTGCTGCCTGGAACACTGCTCCCTTCACTCATTCTTCAGATTTCCATCACCACCCCTACCCCAGATTTATTTCATGTTCTCAGACCTGCAACTGATTATCTGTGAATTATGTGTTTGCTTGCTCTCTGGGACCTCCAGTGTAGGTCCTTCAGTGAACCTCTACTCAGGACTCTGTCTGTCTTGCTCCATGCATTTTTTTTCTAGTGCTTAGCACAGGGTCTGACACACAGTGAGATCAATAAATGATTGTATGATGGTATGAATGGATGCCTGGCACCACCAGTGACTGCAGTCAATGCCTGGAGTTATGAAAACAGATGGACTAAAACCATGTATTATGAATTCATCTGTGTTTCCACACTTGGTGACCACTCTGTAGGCACCAAGCAATGTTCTAGAGCATAGCTGTCCACTAGAACTTTCTGTGAAAATGGTAATGTTCTGGATCCATGCTGTCCAATATGGTAGCCATGAGACACATGTGGCTGTTGAGCACTTGAAATGGGGCTAGTGGGACTGAGGGGCTGAATTTTAAAGTTTATTTAATTTTATTCGACATGAATTTAAATAGCCACATGTAGTTGGTAGCTCCCGTATTGAACGGCTCTAGAGAGCAGGGGCGCGTCCTACTATCTCCAAGGCTGTTACGTGCATTCTGTCAACCAAGGATTCACAAACCTCCATCACTGGTCCTTGGGGTCAAACATGCCAAGGATTCTTTGGCAGCTTCCTTGAGGCAGGCACTCACCATCCCCCACTGCCCACCAAGCTTGTCAGAGACCACCAAGCAACAATGACGCAGAGAGATCTCCACAGCAATGGCACGTTTCCAGAATACGAATGCTGAGCGTGGACCTCACCATCTTTATCACCATCCTCACCTATCACACAGCCACCAACCTCATTCTCTCCACCATTACTGCCCCATCACAATCTCCCCTCCCAAGCCAACCACCAACGCAACCATCAAAGCCAACACCGGCAATTCCACAGTCAACACTACCATTGCCATCCCACGCCCACCGTCACCACCACCACCACCCCTCCCCCCATCACACCGTCCCAGCACCAACACCTGGAGCCAGTGCAGGAAACCTGTCAAGAGCACTGGCTCTGGAATTCAATTGCCTGGGCTTAAATCCCAGCTCTGAGTTGAAATCACTCAGTTTCTGTGAGACTCAGTTTCTTTATCTGTAAAATGGGACTAATAATAATACTAATAATAATTACATGATAATAAGACTTAGTGCCTGTGACTGTTCGAAAAGAATCAAATGAGGAAGTGCATGGAAAGCCCTCTTCCTGGGTGCTAATGCTTTTCTAGATCCTGAGCTCAGTGAACACAAATTTATTTAATCCTCACACAGGTGTGGGAGACGTTGATCCACAGATTTTACAGATGAGGAAGCTGAGGCTAAGAGAGGTGATATGACTCGTCCAAGGCCCTACAGCTAATACGAGAAGCCGGACTGGAACCCAAGTCTTCAGCTGGACTGGGCTAGGCTGTCCCTTTTTTGGGTCAGCAGGCCAGCCTTCCTGCAGTTCCCCCCTCCTCAGGGATGCCGTGGGGATTCCAGAATTCCACCATGAAGGGTGGTGATGGTGGTGTAGTCTCAGCCTCAGCCCGGCCGGACAGGTGGGGGTGCTGGGGGGAGTGGAGTGGGGGCGAGTCTGCTCACCTGTATCCTGGCGAAACTGGTGCATGGACTGCAGGTCGATGATGTAGGGCACCAGCTGGGCATCCACCTGCCCCAGGACCACGGAACCGCGGGCGTCCTCCTTGAGCACATTCTCGATGTGGTGGCACACGGTGGCCGTGTAAGGCCGCCAGCGGCTGTGCTCATTTAGCCACTCCCACACCACCACCCGGGCCACATTCTGCGGTGGGAAGCCCAGCCCGCTCCCGGGCATCATCACACCCTGGCCTGGCCTTGACATGGCCGCTGCTGCAGCCTCAGGGGCCAGGACCCCACTAGGACCGGCCCAGCTCCTCCTGGGCCTGGGGGCAGGCAGGGAACTTCCTCTCTCCCCAGGGAGGGGGGCAGCAAGAGCCAACCGGCCTCCTTTCTAACTCGGGGTCCTCTCTGAGGCCCCGAGGCCTCAGTGAAAGGAGTGTGAGGTGCAGCTCCAGGCTCCAAGGACCCCTTCCCCCAGCGCTGTCTCAGATAAAGGCGCTGCTCTGGAAAGCAAGTGTCTTTTTTGTGGTGGGGAAACGCTGCTCTAAATTCCTTGGCTCCCTCGGCTCAGAAAGGGAGTGAGGCAGCCGCCCCTACTCTAGGTCCAGTCTCTTCTCTGCTGGTCTCCAGTCACTTCTTCCCAGCCGGCCACGCAGGGCCTGTCACCCAGGAGGGCCGGGCCAGCCTGCTGCTGGCTCTGCGGCGCCCAGCCGGCCCTCTGCGCTTCCAACTGCGTCCCAGACCCTGCGCCTGGCTCCAGTGGGGCTGCTCGCCTGGTCTCGGGTCCGCCCCTCCGACGGCTCCTGCTGAAGGGGGCGTCCCAGTCCCCCTGGTTCCTGCTCCACACGGCGTCCTGGTAGGCCTGGGTGGCTGAAGAACGCACCGGGGAGGGTGCGCCGCGTACCCCTGGCCCGCCGGCCCGGCTGCGGCTCCGGAGCTGGGCGGGGGGGACGAGGGGGGCGGGGGCCCGTGGGCACGCCCCACCCCACTCGTGCTCGCGACCTGCCGGGAGACAAGGGGAGAGGGCCCTTTAAGAGGAGAGCGCAGCACCCCCTCCCCCTTCCCGGGAGAGCGATCGGCTGAGAACAATGGGGAACCGATGGGGGGGCCGGCAAGGGGGGCTTAAGGGGGTCGCCGCCCGCGTTCCCTTGGGGCAGGCCTGAAGGGAGGGCTGGGGCGGGGGGCGCGAGTTTCCGAGGCTCCTCGCCTGCGGAGCCCCCTCCTCAGCTCCCCGAGTGCTCCCCTCCCCCGGGGCCCGCGCCCGGGCCGGGATGCGGGGTGCGCGGGGATGCGCGGGGATGCGCGGCGCTGCAGGCGCGGCCCAGGGCCCCTCGGGGGTCGCGTCACCGAGGAGGCGAAGCCGGGAGCTGGATCATCGCTGCCTCCCGCCCTGGGGGTGCCAGCCCCCTCTTCCCCAGCCCAGACCTCCCGCAGCGCGCGCCGGTCCCCTGCAGGAGCCGGGGGTGGGGTCCCCAAGCACCCCGCGCTCTCACCGCCGTCTCCGCTGTGCTGCCTCCTTCTCCGCTGGCGCTTCAGCACCGCCGCCTCCTGGGCTCCCCGCGGAGTGGGAGGGAGCCGCGGTCCCGCCTCCGCGCCCTGTCCCTCCCAGGCCCGGCGGCCGCCGCACGCCGGGGCGCTGGGCTTGCCGCGCGCGGACAGACTGCCCCGCCGACCGACGGACGCACGCGCCGGCTCTGGACGCTGGGATCCCGCGGGTGGGAGGCGGCCGCGGCGGCGCTCCGGGGAGGGGCGGTGGAGGGGGCGGAGAAGGAAGAAGGGGAGGAGACAGACTGGGGCCCGAAGCGCCGCCGGCGCTGACACGCGAGTCCCCGGGGCGCCCCAAATCCTCGGCTAGGCCCATCTGGGACCCTGGGAGGTCTCCTCACCCCATGCAGGAAGCCAGGCTTGGAGTGAGGTGTCTCTGGGTCTCCTGCTTGAATCCTAGTCGTCTTCACATTCCAGCTGCCCAGTCCCAGGGCCTGGAACCCAATAGGTGCTCAATAAATGCTTGAATGAATGACTATGATCCAGAGACTGCCCAAAGGAAGATCTTAGAGCACTCCGGGGTAGCTTTCTCTTCTCCTTACACTATTCTGGGAGAGGGGAGGGAGGAGGCACTAGCAAGGCCCATTTCAGAACCAAATGGAATCATGAAACATGGAAGACTGAGGCCCAGAGAGGGTAAGAAACTGCCAGGATCACACAGCAGATGCCCAGACACCAACCCAGAGCTGATTCTCCTCCCGGCCCCGAAATTAGCCAGCTCAGAGCCTACTTCCCCAAAGCACCCACCTGCTCCCGGTGAGCGGGATAGCAACAGCATCTTGCCCCGGAGGGGAGTTTAGGGGCCCTAGGCCAGGAGACAGAGACTTTGGAGGAAGGTAAGGTGAGACCCTCCACCATCTCATTCACAGATGCCTGCAAACAGTAGGTGGCTTAATAAATGCTGGGTGAGGGTTGGCTGGATGGAAAGGGAGGCAGGTGATGGCAGCAGCTCCAGTGTTAAAGGGATGGCCAGCTCTCCTTCCTCTGACAGGCTGGATGCAGCTGAGCATACACATTAACTGGGAGGGGGATGGATCACCCGAGGCCTGCGGGTGTTTAGATTAGGAAAGATGAAGGATGCGTCCGGGAACTCCAGCCTGGGCGACAGATGGGGGTCAGCGGCCTGTTTGGGAGCCTGCCCAGAGCAGCCCACGCTCCTCTTCCTCTCCAGGGCAGATGCTGATAAACTAGGTGAGGTCAGGGGAGGACTGGTCAGGGGCGCTTTCCCAGAACCAGACTCTGGTTCCCCAGCCAGCTGGAGTGACCTCCCCTCCCCAGGCCCCTGTTCTGTCCTGCAGCCCAGTGCCTGATGGGCTTTCTCAGATTGAGTCAGTGATTCTGCTGGCTCGTGCTGACCACAGACTAAAGAAAGAGGCTCTGTGTGAGGACAGGGCCAGCTCTGGAGTGGTACCGATCCAACTGAACTCTGGGATTCAGTCTAGGGTGACTTTACAGGGTCGATGAGGGCCCCTTCCCCCATGACAGACAAACTGATGTGTGTGCATTTTTCTGAGAAGAAGGGCTCTGGCTTTCAGAGATCGTTCTCAAAAGAGCTTGTGACTCAAAAAGATTCAGAGCTAATGCTTATGAACCTTATGTTACAGAAGGGGATCTGGGGACCCCAGGGTGGGGAAGTGACTGATTCAAGGTCACACGGAAATTTAGCAGTTAGAAAGAAGAACCCATGACTCTGGACTGTATAATGCTATTTAAGGTCTGACTGAATGCCACTTCTTCCAGGAAGCTTTCCATGAACTCATTCCCATCTTCCTCTCTGTTCCTTTGCCCATACCTTGATGTGACAGCCTGCATCACAATTGGCCACTTCAATACTGTCCCTGCTAGAATGAAGCATCCATGAGATGAGGGACTGTGTCTTATTCGTCTTGTGTGGTGTGGTTATCATTTCTTGAGTACCTATTATGTGCCAGGCACTTACATAATACTACTCTTCATAATTGCCACATAAGGTGGGGAATATTATCCTCATTTTACAGATGGGGAGAAAGAACCTTCCAAGGCTCAAAGAGGGTAAGTGATTTGCCCACGTTCCCACAGGGAGTAAGTAGCAGAGTTGGGGTTTGAATCCCAAACACTTTTGCAACTCCCACAGCACCATGCTGCCTCTATGTTTGTTGAGCGACTAATGAATGGCGTCCAGCTGAGGATCCGGTGCAGTGGCCCCTCTCCACTGGGCTGTGGAAAATCTGAAAGTGCAAAAGCCTGGATCCCAGGGAACCATGCGAGAAAGGGATTTCAAGGAGGGGAAAGGAATTTGGCCTTTAAGGAGCCCACCATCCACTGGGGAGATGGCTCAGACACCAGTGGAGAAGCCAACGGAACAAAATCAATCAATCACAAACTCTCTGTAAAAAAGAAAAAAATCTCTGTGTATGCATTACGTCCCTAGAAAAAGAATCCCTGGATTTTCTCTTCTGCGTGTTTTCATCTTGCTTCCTCGTGGTTACGATACTAGCTGAGATTGTCAGCACAATGAAATCAAACCGATGACCTGGAGGAGACGATGCTGCCCCTTTTCTGGATCTTTGAGTCACACATCACATTTCAGGCTGATCACACTTAGTTAACCTGCATGTGAGGTTCATAGCAATGGCCTCGTTCTGTATAACAAGGACTTCAAATTCTCCTACGTGACCACGCTTCACCATCACAATTAGGAACCAGATGATGACTCTGGAGCATCACGGAAAGGCACTTGTAGTTTGTCTTTTTGCTTAGCATCATTGGTGCTCTGGAGAGCATCAGCCAGGCCGTCCATGGGCACCATTTATCCACCCACCCCTCTCTCCCTCCGTCATTTATACAGCCATCCATGTAAGTATTCTCCCCTCATTCCCTCCCTCCCTTTCTTCCTTCTTTCTATTCTCTATCCACCTATCCTTCCATGCATCGATCCAAAAATATTTGCCCCTGCCTCTGTGCCAGGCCCTGGGCTATGTACTGAGGCACAGCCATAACCAGAACAGAATAGGTCCCTGCTCTCTTGCGTCTCAGAGTCTAGGGCGAGGGTGAGATATGAATCGAAGTATCATGCCAAGTGTGATCCTAAGAGTTTATAAGAGCCTTGTATCATGAGGCTCTCTAACAGGGGTCCTCCTGGGTCTCAGGAGCCAGGGAGGGCTTCTCAGAGGACATGGCATTTCAGCTACTCCCTGAAGGATTCTGTCTTAATGGGGTTAAGTGGGGTGGGAGGGGGAGTGGAGGGGACGCGAAGGTGCAAAGGCTCAGGGGTGTGGCTGGGTTGCAATGTGTTTTTTAGAGCAACAGCGATGAGCAGGGGGTAAGATGAAGTGGCAGGGTCACTGTGTGGGGCCTTGTAAGTCCCGGCATGGTTGGGGGGTTTTTATCGGAAGGGCCATGGAGGGTTACAGAAAGCAAAGCTCCATCCTCAGAAACTCTGATGTTTTAGGTGGCCTGGTGGGTCCAGGCCTCAGTAGTTTTGGCCAATGGTCCTTTCCCTGGACTGGGGGGATTGAAATTGAGAGATGAATCAGTGTATCTGCAGGAAATGAATAATGATAATCCAATGACACCTAATATGAGCCCTCAGGTCTTATGTTGGACCATCCATTCGGTCATTCAATCAGAAACTTTTTATTGAGCACCTACTATGTGCCAGACACTGTTCTAGGCACTGGGAATAGAATGGTGAACAAAGAGACAAAAATCCCTGCCCTGCTGACACGGGGCTGGGGG